ATTTATATTTATATTTATATATATTTATATATTTATGTATATATATATATTTATATTTATAATCATATATTTATATTCATAAATAATTATATTTTTGTATATGCTAATTTTATATTTATATATGCATTTAATTGTTAGCATGATTTAATATCATTTTATGTTATGTGATTTATATTTGTGAGGTATTATGGTTGATTGATTCATTCGATTATTTTATGCAAACATTGATATTCAGTCAGTGATTTTCACATTTATCGTTTTTGTATCATTATTTAAGTTTCAGTTTCCATTTATTCGTTGTTTGTGAAATTAATATTCGGTTCGATTCGTTTTTCAAGTATAATACTGTATTTGTTTTTGAATTTAACCACTACACCACGCTGAAGTACAATGCACTCCTCCTGTGCATTGAAAGGAATGCAGTGATCGTCATCTATCTGACCATTAGGTTCAATTTGATTTGAATCATCCATCACCATATCAGTTCGCCTGAATAATGATAATCTTATTATTTTGTTTAAAATTGCTTCATTATTTGTTTTCGTTTCTTATCCGGTCATGTTCCCATAATAAGCTGAAATTTCAATGAAAATCGTTTCCTGCAAATTCATTCCGTCAAATGATTGATTCCATCGTTATTGTCAGTTTCTCTACGGGGGTTGTCTAAGTTTGAACGAACGTTTTCAAAGATTCACTTTTTGCATTTGGTTAATTTAATTGTTGGTTCATTCAACATTGAGTATGTTAGTTCATGCTTATGTCACCTACATCCATGTGCATTTCGTTCGTTGATCAGCTCAGTCAGTTTCTTTCGATAGCGAAAAGCCAATTCCTATCAAGATGCGCTAAACCATTTATGAACTGGCCTGTGATCAGCTGATTGATGCGCTCCTGAATATCTAAACTGTATCCAAAGCGAATAGCATTGCAAGTGATGATAATAGTGATAGTAATAGTAATTCCAGGACGGACTTACGGCCGAAATTATCGCTTTGGCACAGGAGCACACACAAATTGGTTCGCTTCTCGCCAAAATGAAATCGGTGAATAATTATCGTTTCGATATCGCAAATTTTTTGTTATTGATCAGGTGATGTTCAATGGTGAAGTGTCACCAAATCGACCACCTAAATTGATCTAATGTTGAGCTCGATGTTTTGCATTTAGCACAACTTCAATGAATCATTCGATTGAAATTGAAGGATCAAACACGGGAATTATACATCGAACAGTTATGTGCTCTTGATATACCACTGAGACGTATCAAATTAAAAATATTCGGTCATACTGGAGTTGGTAAAACACGTTTGATTTGTGCGTTGCAAAGTGGTAGTGTTATTGGTTCGCTGATCGGTGCCGTTCAACGTCGTTTTTCCGATAATCCATCACCGTCTTCGTCAACTACTTCGAGTCCATCCAGAGGCATGATTTCTTTTATTTACGAATTTTACTTTCATCCATTATTTTTTATTCGTTCATTGAAAAGTTCAGTGATTTCTTTGTAATTTTATCAGCCCATTCAGATGATTGTTTAAATGCATCTGATGATACATTGGAGTCAAATAACAATAATAACAATAACAACAACAATAATGTTAAATCATTTCGACGCCGTTGTATTCCCCACGCGCAATATACTCGTGGTATTGATGTGCAGAATGTTACATTACAAGGTTTTAGATTGACATTTATTATTATGAAGTGATCCGTTGCAATTAATTCTCGCTTTGGCCGTTCATTCACTGCCTCTGATATAATGGCTTAGGCTTATTCTACATATATAGAGGATCTGAATATGATGACACAAATGCAGTGAATAAAAACATCATTGATTGTGTCTTCAGTAGCTGTACCAAATAGAGCTAGTCACTTTTATTCTCATCAACTGCCATAGATACTGTTCAAAGTTTTGAATAGTTTTCCTAATAAGACTCTGTTGTGTGCTATTGATCATGAATGTGTTAAAACAATCATGCTACTGATAAGTATTAAGGATGTGGCGAATTCTCCGTGTGGGAGTTCGGTGGTTACGAGCCATATCACATGGCATACGATCATTTTGTCGGTAATACAGACTGTGTGCATGTTATTGTATATCGTAGTACTGATCCAACAGAGGTTCAATACAAGCAAGTTTTATATTGGATGAATTTTCTGAAAGGACGAGTCACACCGAGTGAACCGATTGGCCATTGTGGAATTATTTCGCGACGGAGTAAGGTGAATACCAATCGTTAACGCACTCATTATTAACCGATCCTTCGCATGGCTTATTCAATCAGTTCTTTTCTATCTTTTGCTGATGTAGAATCGTTTATTTGTATGATTCGGCTCAAATTTATGACTAAATTTGTTCACTCATTCGATCATTAATTAATTTAAGGTTGTCATTGTTGGTACACATGCAACCGATGCATTATTTCCGCAGAAAAACGATGATGGAGAGTACATCTCATCAGATGGTGATGCGATGCTGAAAACAGTTCGATTACGATTCGAAACACATTTCGATATCAACGAGCAGCTCATCCTTCTTGATTCAACTCATTCCAATTGTCCCGGTATTGTTTTCACTTATTCATATTCTTTTCGTATTTCCATTTCTAATGGATCTTGCGGAGCAAAATATTTGAAAGTTGATTTCCGAATCACTTCGAAGCTGAATTGTTTGACGAAAAGGAGATTTTTTTAAGGTATGAAATCGTTGAAGGCTTATCTGTCGAAAGCACGCGAAACGATTCTCATGGTAAGTTGTGCTTATCGGTTTTTTTGATTGCATTGAATTGAGGTGAATGTGCATATATATATATATATATATATAT